TAGTACAATTGAGTGTTTGCTGTGATGTTGGGCTTGATTTTTACTTTTTATTTTTTCAGAAGTGCCAAGCACCTGTAGCTTCCACTCTGAAAACAAGCATTGTGGGCTAATCAGTGAAGTGGGCTTAGTGCTGTGCAAGAGGCAGTGGAAGATGCCCCCCAGGAGCTCCCATCTGAAGGGCTGGGTTTGACATACCAAGTTTTCTAGATTCTAGCTATTTATTCAGATGACTAAATAGGACCTGAGCTGCTGCTGTGGGTGCTGAGCCCCCCAGAGAACTTGGCTTTGTATGGGATGTCCCTTCTGTTATTCATTCCTGATGAAACCTAGTATATGACTCCACCACAAAACCAGTGTGTCCCTAACTCAGTCTGACTACCCCAAGTTTGCTACTCAGGCTAGAACAGCTGAAAAGGCAAAGTGACACAGCTTTTAGCTCAGGTTGGCAGCTCAAGTAAAAGTTATTGGGGAATATGAGGCTGAACTTGATACTAAGTCATGTCAGTCTCATCTTTGCTGCTATTGTGACTGGGTTTAGCCAGCCTATGGTAGGAACACGCTCCATTGCAGTGTAGATCTACCCTTAGATTTTATCTGCATTACGTCCCTGTGCTCCCAGAGATGGATACTCTTGAGTAACCCCATCCCACCTACATGAGCCAAACCTGACAGTGTGCCAGGAAAGCCTATCTGGGGCATCCCTTGATCTTTGGTATGACTGAAAGTGGCTGTGGGGGTTCTCCCATGAGTAGCTTCTATGATGCGTGCGAGCTGGAGGTTGGGGAGGGTGTGCTGGAAAGCAGGGTTCCTTGGCAGTACTGAGGACACGCTGTAAGCATACTCCTAAAGTCCAAAAGAAGAGGATGATCTGACTGAACACTTCTGGAGGAGGCCTGGGAAACACCATCAGCCCCTGCTTCCTCAGTAGAAGGCCACCCTGCTCTTCACCATCTGTCTAAAGGGCTCTCTCTTTCAGTGATTGAGGCAACCATTGCTGTGGTTACAGTTCAACACTTGTCCTATGAAGGAAGGGGAAGGGATTAGGGGAGTGGTAGAGAGAGAGCGAGAGAGAGAGAGAGAGAGAGAGAGAGAGAGAGAGAGAGTGTG